CATGCTCTTTTCTTTTCCTTTTCTTTAAATTGTATCACCATTTTCTTTCTGTCTCAAATCCCTCTATCCCACAAGGTTCAAGAGCATTGTGAGGTGTCGCCTGCTGCTCATTGGCCCTTTGATGCTATTTGCAGGTAAGTGTTTCATTTTGTCCTAAGTCAGCCAGGACTTGGGGGTCACTTTAGGTTGGGCAAAAGTTTAATTTAACCCTCAATTCCCCAACAAGGATCTTTGCCTCTGGAGCCCTCACCCTGTCTCTCTGCCCTCCCAGGCAGGACCCTGAGTGCCTTTCTTTTCTCTTCCCCACGTCCCTCTCTGCTTTGCCTTGGTGGCCTTTATTGACAGCTGCAGCTTTTGCCATTTTTCTATTCATTCACTCATCCATTCATTTAACGCGTACTCGGCCCTGTGTTGGGGGCAGGACGGAGTGTTGGGCAGACACCACCACCTTCTGTCATCACCATTTCTGCCCTTACTCTTGAACCTGCCTTTGTCCCCACTTCTCCACTTCCCACACCTCCCCCACAGCCATGTGTGCTCTCTGAAAGATCCCTGCTCCTTCACTTGCGCTGCAAAGGTAGCCTGTCTTCGCCATTTTCTGTTTCCAAGCCCCTTGCTCCTCTCATTTCCAGCTCCCTTGGGCTGGGACAGAGAATAAAAAAGTAGGACCTGGACTGATTCTCTTCCCCATTTCTGAGGGCCTCTCCCCACTTCCACCTCTGCCACCATCCTTAGTCCATGCCAGATTCTGGAATGGCAATGCCATGAAGGGAGATCTGCTGCACCAACAACCAAATCAAAGCCAACATACCCATAAAGTAAAAGTGATGGAGGGCTGTGTTGCCTCCTTAGTTCTCCTCCAAGCCTGAACGTTCCTAGGTGTATTGACCAGACTTTCCTTCCAGGAGGTGAGATACTATGGTCCTCACTCACCCTGGGCCAGGCCTTCCTGGGAGATGAATCCCCAGGTGGGAGCTGTGCGAGGCTGGCCTTAGGGGGCAGTGGCTTCCAGGCTGCCCCTGGGGTGTCAGCTACCACTTGTCCACGTCTTCTCTTTTCTTGGGCTCATGGGGGCTGCCTAGGCTGTTTGGAAGAAACAAGCTCTGAGTCCTTTGAATTGCCTCTTGATTGCTCAGGGGTTGAAGCTGTTTGTGCCCTCAGGTGAGGTTATCTGAGCCTGAGCAGATCACCTGGAAGAGGTAAGGCTGAGGAGGGAAAATTCATACAGCATGTTCACACTATGTATAATATGTGGCTTATTAAATTACACAAAGCCACGTACACATCATGTGAACCAGAGGTTCATATAGGCTTGAATGGTGGGTTTTGCAGAAGAGAGGGTTTTTTTTTTTAATTCTGAATTTATTTTTTTATTTTTATTTATTTTTTTAAAGATTTTATTTATTTATTTGAGAGAGAGACAGATAGTGACAGAGACAGCGAGAGAGAGCACAAGCAGGGAGGAGAGGGAGAAGCAGGCTTCCCGCCGAGCAGGGAGCCCGACGCGGGACTCGATCCCAGGACCCCGAGATCATGACCTGAGCCGAAGGCAGTCGCTTAACCAACTGAGCCACGCAGGCGCTCCCTGGATTTATTTTAAATAGGTAAGCCAAGTACATGACACAAACTTCCAAAAAGTGCCTGAGTATACAGATAGAGTGAAAAATAAGTCTCTTTCCCACTGCTGTCCCCAAGCTCTTCAGTTTTCCATCCAGAAACAACCACTGCTGCAGTTTACTGTGCATCCTTCCAGAGATCATTTCTGAAAATTACAAGCATGTGTGTGGGGGGGGTGAGGGGGTGTGTGTCCCTAAAAAAATGCAAATAGGCATATTATATACACTGTTTTTAACTTTGTTCTTTTCACTTAAGAGTATATTTTGGAGTTTTTTTTCTTAACATATACTGTGTGAGTTGGGGGTAGATTTAGAAAGCAGAAAAAACTTTTCCCAAATGACTCTGAGCTTTGCTTCACTTCAAGCAGCTCCTTGCTTCTGGCTGCCTTTTACATCGTGGCCCCTGGGCCACCTAAAACTGTCCTGCTCTGAGAGACATCCTGCCATGTGACAGGCATGGAGCCCACCTCCCTGCCAGATTCCACGGAAGCGATTTGTGTCCTCTATTCTTCCTGGATCCCCCACATCTCGAATTTGTTGTCATAGTTTACTAGGTGAGATACAAGCACCAGCCCCTCACCTGGCTACTCAGTTGTTGTTTTTTCAGGTCTTGTAGTTGGGTGAAGTATTTTTGGGGCAGTAAGAAGGGCATCTCGGTTGCAATTCTGTTTTGTGGAGGAGCGGGGCCGGCAGGTGGCTTCAGGTCATGGTGAGCACTTTTCCTGAAGGGGTCTGGAATGCAGGAAGTGGAATGGGACATAGCCCTTAATGTTAAAAGACTGGTTAAATGACTTTGGGGGCAGGCCTCGGGTCTTTCTATAATTACTTTGTAGAGCCATCTCATTCCTTCCCTTTCTCTTGCTCTAGGCCTGCTGATATTGCTCATTTTCTTTTGATGAGCTTTGTAATCCTAGTGGTCCATTTCTTCTGCCCCAAAGCGGCTTGGGTCAAATCAGATCATCTTCTTCATTTGATTTAGACGTTCTAAAGAGAAATATCATGGTGGATATTTGTTTAAATTTCCTCAGATCAAATTGCTTACAAGATTTTGCTAACTGAATAAAGAAAAACAAAGTTAGATATACTGATCCCTTGTTCTTGGAGAGGCAGCAGAGCCAGGGGCTTTCAGAGGTTTGTTATCTCATTTTATTTTTTGAAAAAGTAATAGCTTTGGGGCACCTGGCTGGCTCAGCTGGTGGAGCATGCAACTCTGGATCTAGGGGTTGTGAGTTCGAGCCCCATGCTGAGTGTAGAGATTACTTAAAAATAAAATCTTAAAAAAAAGTAACAGCTTTACTGAGATATAATTCGCATGCCATACAAGTCCTCTAAAGTACACAATCCAGTGGTTTTTAATATATGCACAAAATTGTGTAACCATCACACAATTTTAGGACATTTTCATCAATCACCCCTAAAGGAAACCCCATACCCATTAGCCGTCACTTCCCGTTTTCCCCAATCCCCTCAGCCCAAGGCACTTACTAATCTACTTGCTATCTCTATGGATTTGCCTATTTCGAACATTTTATATAAATGGACTTATACTATATGGGGTCTTTTGTGACTATTTTCTTTCACAGTGTAGTATTTTCAATATTATAATCCACATTGTAGCAGTATCAGAAATTCATTCCTTTTTTTTAAATAATTTTTTATTGTTATGTTAACCACCATACATTACATCATTAGTTTTTGATGTAGTGTTCCATGATTCATTGTTTGTGCATAACACCCAGTGCTCCACGCAGAATGTGCCCTCTTTAATACCCGTCACCAGGCTGACCCATCCCCCCACCCCCCTCATTCCTTTTTTATGGCTAATATTTCATCCTATGGATATACCAAATTTTGTTTATTAATCAGTTGATGGACATCTGGGTTGTTTTCACTTTATTGGCTATTATGAATAATGTTGCTGTGAGCATTCAGGTACAAGTTTTTGTGTGGACCTCACTTGAACACTACAGCAACTCTCTAAGATACATATTTTACAGATCTCATTCCGTAGCTAACAAAACATTCCGATGTGGTTGACAGGAATTTTGAATCTTTATTAGATTCCTGAACCCATGCTTTTTGCAATCTCTCTTTTGTCCGTCAAGAAGAGGAGGTAAAGCAATCAAAGCATTTATCTGAAGGAGACATGGAGTCCACTGAAATTCAAAGTGTGCTCTGAATTTCAAGGATGCAGAAGATCAGGCAAGAGCCGCAAGGTTACATAATTCGTTTTAAAATAATTATGATTGCTGCTAGCTGAGTTTAAACTTACTAATACATGACCGACCAGCTGTCAGGTGTTAACATCTTCCATTTCACTGCAAAGTAGAAGGTTAAGTGGAGGAGATGGTGGAGTTGAAACTAACAAGCTGCAATTGACGAAGTCGAAAGTTTGAGGTGTTCCTGGACTTGAACTAGGCCCTACTTCCCCAGTGTGCTCGCGACTCTAGAGTGACTCTGTGACAATGCTCACTTAATTTTAAATCTTCTTTCACAGTTCACAGAACTGATGATTGCTTTGACAGAACCTGGTGTGGATATGTCAGTAGGAAGGAATCATAAACATCAACTGTTAATTTTCAGTTGGGAAATTTCAGCCCTCTCCCCAATGTCTCTCTTCCCTTCGCCTTTTCTCCAATCCGTTTTCACTTCTTTCTCTCAAGTATCAGTTCCCCGCCCCTATGGCTGGGACAGAATCTCCTATCACTCACTCATTTTTTTAAGATTTTTAAAATTTATTTGTCAGAGAGAGAGCACAAGCAGGGGGAGCAGCAGGCAGAGGGAGAGAGAGAAGCAGGCTCCCCGCGGAGCAGGGAGCCCAACGCGGGACTCGATCCCAAGATCCTGGGATCATGACCTGAGCCGAAGGTAGACGCTCAACCGACTGAGCCACCCAGGCGCCCCTCGCTCACACTTCTGTGTGGAATGCAATATTGTGTGAATTTGCTATCTGTTCTTGAGTTCTCGCCAATGAGATGAAAGCTCCTCCGCCAGCAGGGGCCAGAGAGGTGGTATTCGAAGCAGCGGACATGCAGAAAGAGACCTTCTTGGAAAAAAGCTCCTTTACCTGTATTGTGCCAGGGTTTCACGGATGAAGGCCGCTCACGTAGGGGTTGGGGCGGCGTGGACCGCACCCCAGCTAGGTCAAACGCGCCGTCGCTAGGGCAACGACCAGTCCAGGCAGGGGGCAGCTCCGGAGCCCTCGTGCGGAGCGCACGGACGCCCGCCCGACCGCGACGTCAGACCCATCCCACCCTTTAACGCCTGCAGGACCCGGCGCTACTCCGAACACCGCCTCCCGCGAGCGGTAGCTAGCGAAAACCACCAATCAGAGGAGCCGACACATCGCCCGGGGCGGGCGTGCAGCAACCAATCGCTGCTTACGTGTGATCCCAGGCCCGCCTGCGAGGCTGGCTGCCGGCGCTGAAGCGGCGACGGCGGGAGTCGCTGCTGAGGCAGCCGCGGGCGCGGGTCGCTTCGGCGCTGCTCCGTGGGGCCGGGCCGGGCTGGCTGCAGCTGGCGCCTGGCGGTGAGGGCGGGCTCCCGGGACAGGCGGAATGGCCCCCACCTAGGGCAGTGGAAGAAGCGGCTGAGCGCAGGATGCTGGGGAGGCGGCGCGGCGGCTCCTCACTCATCCCAGGTAAGGGGGAAGCCGCGCTCGCTGTGGCTCGGCTTGGAGCGCCGCCCCGGCCCCGCCGCCTTCCAGTCGCCGCCCACCTGGCTCCGGGCCCCGGGCCGGCTCTGTCCTGGCATCCCTTGGCCCAGCGTCCCCTCCTGCCCCCACATCTCCCCATCTGCCCCGGGGCAGTTGCCCAGCCCCGCCCCCCTAGCGCGGCGTCCCTCGCCCTGGCGGGCCGGCTGCTGCACCCACGCCCGCTCCCCTTCCCCCAGCGCCTGCGTTTCCCGGTCTCCGCTGCGCCGTCACCCCGCTAGTCCCCGCCGTGGTCGGCCCCCCGCCCCCTCCCCTCTCATATTTGCTCCCTTCCCTCTCCTCTCCGTCCCCTCCCCTTTCGCGGCGCTGGCACCGTTTCCCAGCCTTTGCAGTCCTTCGGGGCGCCTTCCGGGGATGAACCCCCCCCCAGCTCATCCCGTTGGGATCAGATCAGACTTTTGCCCTCACTTAAACCTGGGCTTCTCGTCCGCAGAATCACCTTCATCCCTGCCCTTTAATTACATATTCTTCGTACCTTTCAGTCGCCCCCCCAACCCCCATGTCCCTTGGGTTTTGCCCTTTTGCTCCCAGATGCCTTCCTCTACCAGCTCGCCTCTTCTCCCCTCACTTTCATCAACCACTTCTTTTCCTTTACACTTAAACCTTCAGACACTCTAATACTCTCCTGAATACCAGATCTATAGTTTTAACATCATAATTCGTCTTTCAGTGAGCTGCACCGCTAACATGTAAAGCGCCTTGCTCAGAACCTGGCACACAGTAGGCCTGCCACGCAGTGGGGGCTTATGCGTGTTAGTCTCTTCCTCCTTCCAGGTCTTTGTACTTTCCAGATGGTGGTAGCAAGAGGTCCAGTATCCGGAGGGATTGGACCCACTGTCGGAAGAGTGGTATGGGAGATGGCAGGACAAATTATTGAACTCCCAAGTGTGAGAAAGAGATTAAATTGTCAATTTTTACTGACTGCATTTATTCAGGAAAAAGGTGAATTTTGCTATTTTTGTGTCAAATATTGTTTTATGTTAATTGGCTTTGTAAAGGATTCTTAGGGAACTTCACAATGTAATTATTCCCTTATCACCCCCCCTTCAAACTAATAACATTGTATGTAAGAAGTGTTTTACTTGTTTATTTCTCAGCGGGATAGTCCAATTCTGCAGTGAATTTTCATCCTGTAAGAGCCTAGGGGAATCTGGTTTAGAATTCTTGGAATCAGATGCTAGAGGGATCAAAAATGCTTAGGAGTAAAAGTTCTAACAAGTTCTGTAAGAGAGTAATTATCTCTCCCTTTCCCCAACACTTTCTGGCAATCAGAGGAAGTAGCTACATTTTTTTTTTAAAGTGAAATAAGTTTGAGTTTTCAAAATTACAAAAACAATGTTACTGGCCTCAGCCCGTTCTTGCCACGTTTGCTTTAATGGTCTACAAGCTAGGATGAATCAAACAGTTGCTTTTTCTTCTCCTAGGATCTCCAGAGCAGACTGGAGAAAATCATGTAAGTGAGCTGCTGGTGCTGTTCTAGACTTCTGGATTCTGACTTTATTCATACTGGCTGGAGATCCTTCGATTTACCCCATAGGATATATATATATATTTTTTTTAAATGAAGCCCATGTGTTTTATTTATTTATTTATTTTTTTGAGAGAGAGAATGAGATATAGAGAGCACGAGAGGGAAGAAGGTCAGAGGGAGAAGCAGACTCCCTGCTGAGCAGGGAGCCCGATGCGGGACTCGATCCCGGTACTCCAGGATCATGACCTCAGCCGAAGGCAGTCGCTTAACCAACTGAGCCACCCAGGCGCCCCCCATAGGATATTCTTATGTACTAAAACCTGACTGGCTTTTTATAGATTTTTACCGTTCTCCTCTCTTTGTCCTACTCTTGATATTTCTTCATTGCTTATTTTGCAATAAGCAGAAAATTCACAGAAGAGGGGCACCTGGGTGGCTCAGTCGTTAAGCGTCTGCCTTCGGCTCAGGTCATGATCCCGGGGTCCTGGGATCGAGCCCCACATCGGGCTCCCTGCTCTGTGGGAAGCCTGCTTCTCCCTCTCCCATTCCCCATGCTTGTGTTCCCTCTCTCACTGTGTCTCTCTCTGTCAAATAAATAAAATCTTAAAAAAAAAAAAAGAAAATTCACAGAAGAAATTGGTGGACTTTAGCCCTGAACTAGTAAGGGTCTATCATTTTTTTGTGTGTCTATGCCTGTCTAATTTCTGATCTCCTTTCCTTTACCAGAGGAAAAAACGCTCTTCTTTCTAAGGCTAACATCTTTGATCTCCTCTATGTTCTCATTTTTTTCTCCTCCTGTGTGTATGGTCAGGTTTATACCTTCTAAAACAAAAACAAAAACCTCTTGATGCTTCCCTCTTTTTTCATTTTCTCTGATTAGTGTGGTCTTCCTTAGATTTTCAGTTTTTGCTCTTTTCTCTGTTCTCGAATTTCCTTGTGTGATTACACTTCTATCATGGCTTCGAATAGCACCTGTATACTTAGGGTTTTCAAAGATGTGTATTCAGTCCCCATTTTTCTTGAGTTTCAAGTGTTCTTTATTTTCATCTATCTTTTTTTTTTTAAAGATTTTTTTTTTTATTCATGAGAGACAGACAGAGAGAGAGGCAGAGGGAGAAGCAGACTCCCTGCTGAGCAGGGAGCCCAATGCGGGACTCGATCCCAGGACCCTGGGATCATGACCTGAGCTAAAGGCAGACGCTTAACCATCTGAGCTACCCAGGCGCCCCCATCTATCTTTTGTATAACTAAACTTGGATACTGAGTACTCCAAACTTGGTTATCTTTTTCTTTCCCTTCCCTCTACTCACATAGCCCCCTCAAGCAGTATAAATACTCCTTTTCCTATTTTAGGCCTCACCCTAGAAACGTTAGAATCCTCTTCTCTCCTCACAGTTAAGTCTGTCATTGCTCATGTTGTGTCTACCTGAAATCTTTTTCTTTCTCTCCTCACTGCCAGAAGATTGGTTGAGGCCTGGGTTATGTTTTTCCCAAACAGAGATGGTCATTTCCAATCCAAGCACTACTTCATTCATTCATTCATTTACGCAGGCACTACTTTAAAACCACCTGGGGAGCTTTTAAAGGTTAAGGATGAGGGGATGAAGGCTTTCACAGAGATTCTGATTCAGTTGGTTTGGTGTAGGGCCAGACCTTGTCATTTAAAAAATGCTTCCCTGGGCACCTGGGTGGCTCATTCGGTTAAGTGTCTGCCTTCAGCTCAGGTCATGATCTCAGGGGTCCTGGGATCGAGCTCCACATCAGGCTCCCATCCCACTCAGTGGGGGGTCTCCTTCTTTCCACCCCCTCTGCTCGTGCTCTCTCAAATAAATAAATAAAATCTTAAAAAAAATTAAAAACATGCTTCCCATGTGACGGTAATATGCAGCTAGGGCTGAGAACTGGACTGAGAGCTTGAGGAGGGACTGATAGAACCCTTAGGAATTACAGTATTTAAGTCATCATTTAAAAATTAGGATAAATGTCATTTTTGTTGGCATGGTTAGTTGCTTGCTTTCCTGGCACTTGGTATATGTATCTGTTAAAGTACATACCATTTCATTTAAATTATTTCTCATGGGCCCATTTTTGTCACGACTAGGAATTCCTGAGGTCTAGGACCGTGCCTGCTGTTTCTTCTGCACAACTCATGACCCTTCTGACAGCAAATTATGTGGGCTTTCCCCTTACAGTTCTCCAACTGTCGGGACACCTATTGGGTGTCCTACAATTTAACCCAGTTATGACACTACCTACCTGGACTTAGTGCAGACCACACAGATGAAGAACTTAGCCCCCACCCCCCTCCTCCACACCCCACTGCTATGCCATTTGCAAGTCCCAGGTTGTGACATGTACTTTTGACCAACTGGCTATAAATTGGGGCTTCCCACAACCCCCTCCTCAGGTCAATAATTTGCTGTAATGACTCGCAGAACTCCGGAAAGCTCTTTACTTAACCACTACCTGCTTATTATAAAGGGTATAACTCAGAAACAGCAAATGGAAGAGATGCCTAGGGCAAAGTATGTGGGAAGGGGCATGGAGCTTCCATGAGCTTTCCCTGGGGGCACCATCCTCCCGGCACCTCCATGTGTTCACCAACCCAGAAGCTCTCTGAATCCCTTCAGTTAGGATTGTTATGTAGGCTTCATTATGTAGGCATAATCATCGGTTGTTGGTGATAAACTCGATCTGCAACCCTTTTCCCCCATCCTGAGGTCAGGGGTTGGTTCTTCTGGCAACCAGCCCCATCCTCCAAGATATGGTTGAAAGGGGCTTATTATGAGTAACAAAAGATGCTCCTGTCACCCCATCAAGAAATTCCAAGGGTTTTAGGAGCTCTGTGGCAGGAGCCAGGGATGAAGACCTAGTTTACATTCTGTAATAATTCTTATATCACAGTATTGTAATACCTTATTTATCTTTTTGTCACTGCCTTGTACAGTACTTAGTATATTTTAAAAACTTGATAAAATTAGTTGAATGGATCAGTTGGTAAATAATGTAAAACAGATCTTGAATTCACGGTTTTGCAAGATGACCATCTGTTTCTTTCTTGACTGATTAACAGGTCACTAGTCATACTTGCATAGTCATTCTTGTTTAAAAAAAACACACACTCGTAATAAATTAGAGTGGATTAAGATAAATACTTGCTTTTACGATTTGGCTTTTAACCTGGCTAAGCTAGTACATGATTATAGAGGTTCATTCAGGCTTCCTCTTTAGTGGATGCTGTTTAAAATAGACTTTATGGATGGTTGAGACATATGTATCTTCCATCTTTTGTAAACAAATAGCTCTGATTTTAGGCTTATAAGCTTTGGGATTTTCAAGTAGAACAAAAACTGTAAAATTGATAAAAGATCTTGAACAATGGAAGAACTATTTTTAGGAGAATTAAGAAAGTAGGGAATATGCATTAAGCTATCTACATACAGAAGTCGCATTGGTG